ATTTTCCGACACCATCTTCGTTGTCGGATGTCAGAGCATTTGTGGGAATGGCCTCCTACTACCGCAGGTATGTCCGTAATTTTGCGGATATCGCCGCTCCTCTGCATGAACTAACCAAAGGAGGCAGAGAATTTTGTTGGACACCAGCAGCACAGCAAGCGTTTCATACCCTAAAAACCCACTTATCCACTTCACCTATCCTTGCCTTGCCCAATTTTATGATTCCTTTCACTGTTTACACTGATGCTAGCGATTCTGGTCTTGGAGCAGTGTTGTCGCAACGTGTTGGTTCCAGCGAATATGTCGTTTGCTATGCTAGTCGGTCATTGACATCAGCGGAGAAGAACTATTAAACAACTGAGAAAGAGTGTCTGGCCATTGTGTGGGCCATTCACTACTGGCGTCCCTACCTACTGGGAAAGGCGTTTCAAGTGGTTACCGACCATCAAAGTTTAACTTGGCTTCAGGGACTAAAAGAACCCAAAGGTCGCTTAGCACGTTGGATCTTAACCCTTCAAGAATATGACTTTGCCATCGTACACCGCCCGGGTCGTGAGAACAGTAATGCAGATGCACTTTCACGGTCTCCTCTTCCAACTACAGTCGTCAGTCATCCTCATTTACCGGATGAGGAGATCGTCATCGGGGTTAGACCCACCCTTATTGAAACCGAATGGTCCCGGGAAGAGATTTGTCAGGCGCAGCACGATGATCCAGTTGTCTCAACTGTACTTCAGGCAAAGTTGAACACGCCGGCCGAACAAGAAGCTCCTAGTGATTGGACAGATGATAGTGAACTTCGTCGTTATCGGCAAGTCTGGAAACAACTGGAAATAATTGACGGTGTTTTGCATCGACGCGTATCAACAAGTGGTCGGAAAGATGGTCTCGTTCTTGTAGTTCCTCGGAAAATGCGTGCGGATCTGTTGCGGCTCTCTCACAATGATCCTAGTTCTGGGCACATGGGTATTAATCGCTGCGTCGAACGTTTGCAGCCGTGGTATTACTGGCCTGGAATGACCAGCGAGGTGCATCTGTGGGTTGCAGAGTGTGACGTGTGCAACCAAAGGAAATCGTCGTCAGCATCCCACCGTTCCCCCATGGAGAACATCCGAGTATCTCAACCAATGGAGTTGTGGGCAATGGACATCTTAGGACCCCTTCCAATAACAGCACGAGGGCACCAGTATGTTTTAGTGATGAGTGACCACTTCACTAAATGGGTCGAAGCGGTCCCAATGGCTGATCAGAAAGCAGAGACGGTAGCTCGTTGTCATAGTGTCTCGACATGGCGTTCCTGTGAAACTCCTCACTGACCAAGGTAGAAACTTTGAGTCGAAGCTTATGAAAGAAGTATTCAAGCTGTTGGGCGTTCACAAGTTGCGGACATCACCATATCACCCACAGACTGACGGCCAAGTGGAGCGGTTCAACCGTACACTGAAAGCAATAATCTCGTCCTACGTAAATGGTCATCACAACGACTGGGATTTACATTTACCCTTGGCTTTATTCGCATATCGAACAAGTGTCCATTCCTCGACACGCGTATCTCCATTTAAAGCAGTTTATGGGAGAGATGCTACTACGCCACTCGTGTTACTGGGCAGCACGGAGAAGCCCAAGACCCGGTTGATTGCCGACTACTGTGCTGAACTTGAGTTTACGCTGAAAGAGGTCCATGCGACGGTTGCTGAGGAAATCAAGAAAGCACAGACCCAGCAAAAGAAAAATTATGATGCACGTAACACTGCTCATCAGACAGAAATTCTGAGACCCGGAGACATTGTATGGTTACATAGCACTGTCATACCGAAAGGACGCAGTAGAAAGTTCCACAAACCGTGGATTGGTCCGTACGTCATACTCCGTTGTCAAGGACGTTTAAACTATGTGATTCGTCCAAAATCGGGAAAAGGAAGGAGCTCGTGTGTGCACCGCAATCGACTCAAGCTGGTACAGAATCAGACGGATGGCATTAACGAGCAAGATATGCTATCTCCATTGTCGACCAAGAGCGAGAAAACCCAAGAGCAGAGAGTTGCTGAATCACCGATAGTTCACAAGGAAGTTGAGGCAACGAACATGGTACCTCTAAGGAGATCTACCCGTCAGCGCCGACCACCTGATCGTTACCAGGACTTTAATTTAGATGAGCTTGAGATCGAGGACGCTCTCACTTAAGGGGAGGGTAATGTAGTATACGAAGGTGTCTAATGATTAATAAAGGTCGCGTGCAAGGGTCAAGAAAGGATATCGGATGACAATAACAAACGGGATTGCTAGACAATATACAGGACAAGAATATAGTGCATTGAGTGCAGGGAACTAGAATAGGATTTAATAAAGTGATTTGTTTATACTGCTTGCGTGTCGTGATATATTACAATTATATTTTTGAACATGTCCTGAATGTCCATAGATGTGGTTATGACATAAAATATTTCAAATTATCACTCAGCAAAGGCCCTGTTCATTTATCAGGATCAGGAAATATTATATCTTTATCATTATTTTCTAATTCAGATAATCCTGCATGAACTTCTGCTCGTGATATTTTAAAGTTAGGTTGATGCGTGTATGCCATAGTCCCGAAGGGCCAAGTTCGTATGTTTTGACGAAATTTTTTGTTTGTCTGTAACCGCTTTAAATAAATTTTCAAACAGTGAATAGAATGTAATATGCATAAATGTGTATGTTGTATGGAAGACCAAATCCAGCAGTATCGAATGTTAGCAGTAACAACATTTATTTTTTATCAGTGAAAATGAAGCAATCTGATTGGCTGAGGAGCCTTTCAGAGCGGGCCGGTTTTTTGCATCCGGCCCGCTCTGAAACGCAACTGCCCGCTGTGAAATGCAACTGCCCGCTCTGGTTTTCGCGGCAAAAACTGAGGAGTGAAACAATTTTTAAACGAAAGAATCTACCAAAAACGTTTGAAAAACATAGCCTAACGATACTCAGAATACGAAAATTAATTGCATCAAGCCCTAAAGGCTACATACTAAGCACGATGTTCACGAGAATTGACAATATTCAGATAGAAATGCGACTGAAAGTCGGAAAGTATTTGAAAACTTACGTCGAGAAAACTATATATTTTTTAAATGCTCATGTATTCGGTTATAAAAGAAGGTTTAACTGCAGCAGTGAAAACAAGTCACGAATATATTCTCTACCCATTTGTGTCATGCATGTATTTTTCACTGATATAAATATTGTAAACAAAGTAAAAGTTTGTGTTTAAAAACACTTTTCAAGCATATTATCGTGAAACGACAAGAAAAAATACAAAAATATAAAAATAGCATACCTTTTTCATTGTTCTTTTAGTAGAAAAACATTAATTTAATCAAAACAGATTCATTTTTATATGTTTTTGATCGGATCTGAACATGAACCTGTCGTTGTCAGGAGCAACTTGTCAAAGCCAAAGCCAAAACGCCAGGCATAAAAGTTTTTATTCCAAAGCTTCTCTGCTACCATATCCATGAAAAAAGCATGTACATTTTTACTAAAACTATACGTCTTTTTGTGTGTGTTCTTGCCAGTTTTCTCGAATTTTCGTATTCGTGTTTTATATCTTTTAACTTTTCAATTTTTCGAGCAATTTTTGTCAGCCTCGCTTCGAAAATACACAACTGCACTGATCTCAAATTAGTTCGCAAGCAACACTGGAATTTTAATCAATTTAATTTTTACATCTGATAAAAAATAAACACTTTATTTACCGGCAGCGTCGGTCCGGATGAGAAAAACTGTGCCCTCGGTCTTGAAAACGTCCCTCGCCCTTCGGGCTCGGGCCGTTTTCAAGACCTCGGGCACAGTTTTTCTCATCCGGACCTCGCAGCTGGTAAATAACATATATATATTGTAAATTCATTGATTAATTTAATTTGAAACTGTTCACTGAGAACATCAGTTGCCTGAGTAACACCGAACTATTGCACTATATTACCTATATACAGTAGAAAATGGCGACAATTGTATGAATACGCGATATAAATTATGATGATGAATATGCGATTACGATAGTTTCTCATGTACGAAAATATGCCTCCTCGACAAGTAATATGGATTGGGGCGTTATAAAGAGGGAAATCCTGCACGAACACTATAAACGGGAACATCGTCATTAATGATGTACTGTAAATTCAAAAGAGTAGTTTTGACCCCTTCAAAAGAGTAGTTTTTTTGACCCCAGGACTGCTCTTTCAAAAGGGTCGTTTCAGTCCCTTCGGTGCTCACTGTTCGAAAGAGTAGATTGTACCCTTCTCAGAAAGTAGTTTTAACTCCTCAAAGGGTACAGGGTAGGAACGTTACCCTTCGAAAGGGTCGTTTCAGCTATTCGAAAGGGTCGTTTCAGCTATTCAAACGGGTCGTTTCAGCTATTCAAAAGGGTCGTTTCAGCTATTCAATAGGGTCGTTTCAGCTATTCAAAAGTGTCGTTTCAGCTATATAAAAAGGGTCATTTCAGCTATTCAAAAGGGTCGTTTCAGCTATTCAAAAGCATCGTTTCCAGCTATTCAAAAGGATCGTTTCAGCTATTCAAAAGGGTCGTTTCAGCTATTCAAAATGGTCGCTTCAGCTACTCAAAAGGGACGTTTCAGCTATTCAAAACTCCCTGTAGAAATTTTGTCGTAAGCCGTTACACATCACGATATGCTGTATTCTCTGAAGCAACTAAAGAGAGCATCAGTTGCACCAAGGGAGTTGACTCTGTTTTATGTCACTTGTATATATATATTCGTTCCATCCTCGAATATGCATGTCCAGTCTTCCACTGCAGCCTACCAGCATACCTGAGTGACGACCTGGAGAGGCTACAGAAACGGGCGTTAAGAATTATCTATCCATATATACATTACAGTAGAGCTCTCGAAGTGTCAAGAATTTCAACGCTTTTTGAAAGAAGAGAAACAATTGCATCTAAACTTTTTAATGCGATCACCAACGACCCACAACATCGCCTTAATAACTTACTTCCTGTTAGAAACACGAACAATAACCTCCTGGCGGAGGTAATTACTCTTTGAGGAGCACAAGGAAATTCGTACGCCCTTTATGTAAGACCGAGCGTTGTAAAATAGCCAGTTTTATTCAAAGCTATAGTTACAGCTTGTATAGACACTTTAAACTATTATACAGATTAGATCATTCGATTATATATTATATATTTATCTAATTATCTTTTAGTAATAGACATTTCTTAATTTTATAAAATAGTTTTAGCTTAATATAACATTACATGTAAGACTAAATGTATTTCAGCTTTATATGGCTGCAAACCTAGTCATTAAAACATCTATAGATAGATATCTATTTAGGTATGATTTGATATGTAAATGATTTCTAACATTAACAAATCAATGAATAGTCGTTCAATATCGTTTCGTGTGACATAGCCTTCAGTGCAGAAAATAAGATGGGATGTAATTGAACAGACAAATCTCTCCTTTTAAAAAATGGATTTAATACTATATACAAGCATAGACGTAAAGAGAATGCATTAAAGTCTTAATCCTTTACTGACCCAACAGAGTAAAAACTTGAGTAACACTAAGAGTGATTTGGTTATTAGAGTTCATTGCAAAAGTAACAGATTTTGCCAGTCTAAAAGTTTGAATTCACGTAAAGCGTCACACAGCACTAGCTTTTCCTTCCCCAACAACATACATATAACCGAAGTATCAAACACAGAGGTACAACACAAAAGGATTGCATGTGAGACTGTCGCTTTAATACGGCGGTTCACATCATCAGTTCCCTACAAAATAATATTATATTGCATTTATTAATAAGTGCATAGTATTCACAATTATAAACGGACGTGTCTTTCGACGCTCCGTTTAAATACTTCTATTTGCCAGCCCTAGGTCAATAATTTTGCTCTATAATGCTACAAAGCTAAAAAATAAATGTGCTGAATAGCGTCTTATCACGACCACATTAATGGCTACGAGGCACCTGAAACAACAAGTTATGCGGATATTCTCATGAAGGATAATGATCTTCTCAAACTAAATGCTGAAGCGGTGTCCTCGCTAATAGTGGAAAAACCACATTATCTAGTGGCAAAGACACGATCATAAAGGTTGTAGAAACCAGAGCCAGGCAACCAGAATTTGAGAATGCCTTAAAAACGAATCTAAGCGATCAAACAAGTGTTATCGAACAAGAAGTATACGAATCTCTCGTTTTTTATAGTAACGTAATAAAAAGCATAACGCTGAACTTGAACAGACTTCTCGAAATCTTCAGGACAATATCGACAACTTAGTGTGGAAAATTGACGCCCTTGAGCAGTACGCAAGACGAAATTGTCTGCTAATATACGGCATTCCAGAGACACGCAGCGATCGGGGGAATTCTGACGAAAACACTGAGGCTCTTGTCCTGGGTGTCAAGAATAACAAACTTGGTCTTGGAATGGAATCCTCTAGTCTGGATAGATGTCACAGACTTGGTCTCGGAGGTGGTCAGACACGCCAAAAATCTCGGCCTATTATTGTTAAGTTGTAGCCTACAGCGTTAGATCGGAGGTCTTCAGATGTAAACGAAAGCTCAAGGGTACGGGACTGGAAATCACAGAGAACCTAACTAGGAGACGGATGGAAACGTACGAAGCAGTCTTCGATCAAACAGTATTCGTGGACTATTGATGGTAGGATTGTAGCTCTCAGAACCGATAATCAAAAAAAGGTTATAATCGAAAGCCCTAAAGATTTCTTTAAACTTTAATTTTTATTTGACAGATGTTTGTGTGATGAACTTTGACAAATAATCTATTGACCTTTTCTACTAAGAGTATTAATAACTTAATTTATATTCGAGTAGCCTGGGCTGGCTTTTAGGTATTGATTGTCTTTTCTTGCCTTTTCTTAGCAATTGCTTTTTGCTTACTTGATTTAATTACGGGTACATTGAAGCTATCTGCACATCTAATTTATATTCGGTTTGGTTTCTTGCACTTCACTTGGTGGAATTAATATTAGGATGTTGGGGTTTGTAATCCAATATCTTATATACACTCGATAGTGCATCTAATTATTCTGCAATTCAAAAATTGAAACCGTGATTGCAGTCTCAGGTCGTTCCCATGAAATGAGAAGATTCGTATGTTTTCTATTTCTTAAACAGGGAACTTAAACATTAAGTTAACCCTATTCCAAATACATTTTAAACTATTCAAATGATGAAATTTATTGTTGTTTTTAAGCGTTTGTTAGCAAGTGGGAACGACCAACATGGCCGCCATCTATTCAAATGGGGGTAACCGCTGAAATATTCTTGGCTTCAATTTTACTAAAATAGATGTGCTATCTAGTGTACACAAGATATCTATGGTATATATACATTTTAAGACCTGACCAGGAACGACGGCGAAAAATGCAGCACAAGGTCATCTGGTAGGAATTGAACCTACGGCCCTGCAATTCCGGTGCAGCGCTCTAACCATTTGAGCTTCAGACGCCAGCTGTATAGCTGTAACCGTAAGTTCATGGATATATAGGTGATCGGGTGTGCGGGTTGTGATGAGGTGGACTTCAATGATTTGGTTTCTTGCACTTCACTTGGTGGAATTGATATTAGGATGTTAGGGTTTGTAATCCAAGTGAGTATATATACATTTTAAGACCTGACCAGGAACGACTGCGAAAAATACAGCACAAGGTCCTCTGGTAGGAATTGAACCTACGGTCCTACAATTCCGGTGCAGCGCTCTAACCAACTGAGCTACAGAGGCCAGCTGTTGAGCTGTAACCGTAAGTTCATGTATATATAGGTAATCGGGTGTGCGGGTTGTGATAAGGTGAACTTCAATGATTTGGTTTCTTGCACTTCA